AGGATAAGAACAGATATATTCACACCCATGCTCATTGCAGCACTATTTACAATAACCAAACCACTGTGGAAAGCAGTATGCCGATTCATTAAAAAGTTGGAATCAGATACACCATTTGACCCAGCCGTTCTATTACTAAAGAAGTGAGAGCCAGGATAAGAACAGATATATGCACACCCATGTTCATTGCAGCACTATTTACAATAACCAAAAGATGGAGGCAACCTAGGTGTCCATCAGCAGAAGATGGATAACCAAACTATGGTACATACACACAATGGAATACTTTGCAACGCTAAAGAATAATGTAGAATCTGCAAAACACCGCGTAACATGGATGAATTTGGAGGACATTATGCTGAGTGAAATAAGTCAATCAAAGAAGGACAAATATTGTATTAGTCTGTTATTGTAAAAAGTCAATGAAAGGTTTATATTTGGAAGGATAAATTCTTTGTTGGTTACCAGGAGTAGAAGGGGAAGGGAGGGAACACTGCTAGATAGGTAGAGACAAGTATTGATTTGGGTGAAGAAAGGGCAATGTACCAAATGTGAATGATCAAAACGGTTTCACTGAGGAAGAGGAAGACACAGAGAGGTGCATGGGAGGTACAGACAACAAAGATGAACCCTTTTGCACATACAGTACTGTACAATGAAGGCAAACATGTATATATAGGTGGATAGATGGGTGGCAGGCTGAACTATTAGGTATGTCTATGCAGGGGAGAGTGTGCTCAAGACCATGTAAAGGGTTGACAGACAATGTTTCTACAAGTGTATTGGTATGTTCTGTAAGAATTCCCAGGTGTATAGCAGAGCTGACAAGGGACAAGGTTGTAGTCACTTCTTGGCCACAGGAAGCTACCCAGAGGGAGAAAGTAGTTGGACCTATGGACTTGGGACCATAGTCACAGAGGACATTAAGCTCAATTGGCATAACATACTACACAAAGCATTGTTCCACATCTATTTTGGTGAGTAGTGACTGGGATCTTAAAAGCTTACAAGCAGCCATCTAGATGCAACAATTGTTCTCTACTTGTCCAGAGCAAAGAAGAATGAAGAAAACAAAAGATGCATGGAAACAATTATTCCAAGTGACTGGTACACCATGCGATCCTCAGCCTGTAAGACTGTGAGACCAGAACTGGATGGTGCCCAGCTACCACTATCAATCACTCGGAGTGGGATCTATGTAGGAGATCCTGGACAGAATGGGAGTACAATGTGGAACAAAACTCAAAATCATTAAAAAAAAAAAAGGGGGGATGGGGTGGACAGGGAGACCAGGTTTGTTGGTCTGATAGAGCCTGATGGAACCACTGAGACTATGGCCCCTAGATGCCCTTCAGTTTTGAAATTGAACCCATTCCCATGGCTTCCAGCCAGACAAAAGACAGGCATATGAGGTGAACATGTACACTAGGTAGATAAACTCCTTGGAGAGATCAATCATGAGAGAATAGAAGGGATGTGTGTGCACAGGGAGACAGCTCACGGGACAGGAGTGCATGGAGGGAAGACACAGGGAAAAGGTAACTATAGGGAGGAAGTGGAAAGTGAGCTGTTGCACTGTGGGAAATTAAAGTCAATGAAACAAGGTGTCTGTGAGCTACTGTATGAAAAGTGAATTTGCTCTGTAAACTTTTACTCAAATCACAATTTAAAAAAAGGTGTCCAATAGTTTATGAAAAAGTTTGAAATATTGTAAGAATTATCAAAATGTGACACAGATTCAAAGTGAGCACATGCTTTTAGAAAAATGGTGCCAGTAGACTTGCTTGATGCAGAGTTGCCACAAACCTTCAGTTTGTAAAAGATGCAATATGTACAAAGCACAATAAAATGAAATGCAATACAACGAGGTATACGTGTGCATGTTCCACCTATAGCCTAATTTCACTTGTGAAAACATTGTGAAACAGTGACTCCAAGTATTGTTACATTGATGGGCTCATTGTTTTTTTGGTCACTAATTCTGAAATGTTAAGTAAGATTTTGATCAAAGTGCTAAATGTTCAAAAGTCAAGTAAACTTATTTGACTTACTCAGCAATAAAAATGAATGAACTATTGGTACACACAGGAGAAGCTCTGGTAGCATAGTGCCTAAGGCACTTGACTGCTAACCAGAAAGCTGGAGGTTCAAACCCACCAGCCACTCCTCAGAAGGAAGACTGGGCAATCTACCTGCTTAATGATACTGCCTCGGCAACCCAAGGAGGAGTTGCTGTGAATCAGGGCCAACTCAATGGCACATGACAACAACAACAACAACATTGGTACATACAACAAAGTGGATGAATCTCAAATCTATTATGCTAAGTGAAAGAAACTAGACTCAAAAGTCTAAACACTGTATTATTCCATGTATATGACCCTAGATTGCTCAATTTTCCTTCTGAGGAGTGGCTGATGGGTTTGAACCACCAAGCTTCTCCTTAGCCAGAGCTCCCAGTAAAAACTATAGGGACAAAAAACAGATCAGTGATTTCCAAGGGTAGGAGTAGGGGAAGGATTTACTACAAAGGAGCAGCACAAGAATTGTGCAGGGTAATGGAACTATTCTGTATCATAAATGTGATGGTGGATATAGAACTCCATGACTTGGTCAAAGCTCATGGAACCGAACACTTAAAAGAATAAATTTTACTGTATGCAAATACAAGATGGAATTTTTTTTTTTTTTAAGCCAGCAGCTCCTCTCCACATTCTACCAAATGTCCCACTCTCCAGTTGGTATACACTATTAACTATTCTAGCTATATCTTTTGGTATTTACTCTGTCTCTAAATAATGTACTTAGTTTGCTATTTGAATTTTCAGTGTTAGGCAACCAATTAACTAAATACCATGAAGAATATTTAGTCCTTTTGAGTATATTTTACTCTCTGTACTCCATACATAAACCTGCATATATTTCATATATTAACTATTAGTATTCTAACAGTTAAATCATAATTTTGACTGACTCAATATTTATTATTTATTTGTATTACTAATTATTATTTGTATATTAATAATTATTCATATACAAATATTCATATTACTAATAATTATTACTGTTATTACTTGTATTTATGATAACCGTGTAAATAATATTCAAATTAACCATGTCATATAGTGTGATCATTTTTTTGGTGTAGGTTATCTTTGTGGTCTCCATGAGATAAATAATTCTACTTTCTAAATTTGCTGCATTTTCTATATATTTGTCAATAACTTGCCCGAAATTCTCCTCCAGTTATCTAAATCTGCTCACATTATACTAATATCCATCAGGTTCTCTCAGCTTTGCTTTGAGAAAACCCTTTCTGTGAGCTTTCTCACGTGCTCCAGTTGGGACCATTTCCCTCTGTGCTAGGCACACATTTGTCACTCTGGGACATCCGTGCAATTGTTCTTAGGATTCCTTTCACCCTTCTTTTGGGTTGAAGGCCCTCTTTCTGGATCCCAAGACTTTCTCATTCATGTTTTACTCTTGTCATTTCAGTAAATCACTTCCTCCAGTACTTTCCTTAGAAAGAGTACATGGAAGGTGTCAAAAAATAATTGAAGCACAAAGTAAATTACATAGGGTTTATCTGTGTGCACACAGGCAGATCTCTCCAGTCTGAAAAGACAGGGAGGGCCTATTTTAGGCCTTTCACAGTGAGACTCTAAGAAGGAAATAGAGTAGGAAATTAACCATTGTTTTGTCTTAACTTGATTGAATCATGCCCCCTTTCCTGAGATCATCTGACATCAAATTACTGGGTGGTCTCTGTGACCTGGCCAGCCTTCCATTAATTTACAAAATAAAGGTATCTCAATTACTCAGAACACTGGAAAGATTTAGAATTATCTTCTGAGGAAAGGAGTAAAATCCAGACTACTTTAGGCAAAGTTAAATTCTTTGCATGAACTAAACTCTGAACTACTTTTATGGTTAACAGGTGGCATTGTCACAAAGGGGATTCGGTTCAACTTCACGGTCACTGTGTCTCCACATTATTTCTTGTTATCTGTTTTTGGGGAAGCTCTGGTAGCGTAGTGCCTAAGGCACTTGACTGCTAACCAGAAGGCTGGCAGTTCAAACCCAGCAGCCACTCCTCGGAAGGAAGGTTGGGCAATCTCCTTCTGTAGTGATACCACCTAGGAAACCCAAGGAGGGGTCACTATGACTCATCTTTGACTCAACGGCACATAACAACAACAGCAGCATCTGTTTTGGGGGTAGATTCCACAAAGGTCAGTAACCGTTGTGAGTTTTCCCTTATTTAACAACAGCAACAACAAAACTCTTTGCCATTGAGTTGGTTCTGACTCATAGCAGTCCTGTAAGACAGAGTAGAACTGCCCCCTATGGTTTCCAAGGGAGCTCTGGTGGCTTAGTGCCTAATGCATTTGACTGCTAACCAGAAGGCTGGCAATTCAAACCCACCAGCCACTCCTCAGAAGGAAGACTGGACAGTCTGCTTCCATAGAAATACCACCTCAGAAGCCCAAGGAGGGGTCACTATGAGTCGAATAGATTCAATGGCAGTGAGTTGGGTTTTTTTGGTAATCTTTACTGAATTAAGCAGACTGGCTCATCTTTCTCCCATGGAGTGGCTGGTGGGTTTGAACTATTTGACTTGTGGTTAGCAAGTAAGTCTGTAATCACTGTACCACCAGGGCTCCATAGTAAATGTATAGCCTTGAATAATGTTCCTGTTACCCATTTTCTTCATCTGTACATATGGGATAATATAAGATCCCTCTCAAGAGTTTTTGGGGTGATTTAATGAGATAATTCTGGTAAAGTACTTCGTATATGCTTGGCACTTGTAAGCAACCTATAAGTAAGGGTGGTGCATGATAAATAAAAATAAATAGTTATATGTCCTGAACATTTTTTGGTTTGGAAAATATGGCCACTAGATGTGTTTCACACTGAGATTAATCTTATCCATGTAGTCTCGCCTCTTTCTATTAAATTAATGAACTCTGTATCTTCTGTTACTTTTGTCCCAACAGGATATCTATCACAAGGGTCACTGCTGACATCTCGCTTGCCAAACGCTCAGTATTAAACAATCCGAGTAAGCACGCAATAATAGAAAGATCCAACACAAGGTCAAGCTTAGGTAAGTGTGTGTAATACTGATAAGCTTAAGTTAAGACTCCTCTCCTGAGGATGAGGATGAGATCTAATTAGGTTATAATTCCATATGTCATAAAGTACAGAAAAAACAGACACATGTTGCCAGTAGCTAGGGCTACAGTCTAAGTTATTTCATTGTATGGATGGATTTGTTATGATAGTTTTAAGTTAAAAATTCCACATGCTGTCAGCATTAATGTTTTGGTTATGTTTTATTCTCATGGTACAAGTTTTGGTGTCTACTCTAAAGACTCTCAGTTTTGCATTAGTGATACTATGAGCAAGTAACCTCTTTAAGGTTCAATTTCTTCATCTTATAAAAATAGACATCAATGACTACCCTATAGATGGTGGCACTGAGGAAGAAGAAGACATAGAGAGGTACATGGGTTGTATATACAACAAAGATGAACCCTTTTGCATGCACAGTACTGTGTTGTCAGTGATGGCAAGCTTTGATCTATGGGTGGGTAGATGGGTGGACAGGCTGAATGATCAGGTATGTTGATGCAGCAGGGAGTGTGCCTATGACCATGTATAGGATTGGCAGACGATGTTTCTACAAGCATACTTGTATGTGCTGTGAGAATGTCTGGGTCCATAGTAGAGCTGACAAGGGACAAGGTTGTGGTGGCATCTTGGCCACAGCCAGCTACCCTGAGGGAGTGGGTAGTTGGACCTGTGAGCTCCGGACCAGGGTCACAGGGGACACCAAGTTTAATTGGCATAACACTACACAAAAACATTGTTCTACATCCTACTTTGGTGAATAGCAACTGGGGTCTTAAAAACTTGCAAGTGTCCATCTAGATGCAACAATGGGTCTCTCCTCATCCAGAGCAAAGAAGAATGAAGAAAACCAAAGATGCATAGAAACATTTAGTCTAAGGGACTGGTAGACCATGCAACCCTCAGCCTATATAATCATGAGACCAGAAGAACTAGATGGTGCCCAGCTACTATTGTCAACCAGAGGGGAATCAGTGCAGGAGATCCTGGGTAGAGTGGGAGAACAATATGGAACAAAACTGAAAATCATTAAAAAAAAAAAAAAAAAACCAGGTTTGCTGGTCTGATAGAGCCTGGTAAGACCCCTGAGACAATAAATAGCCCCTAGTTACTCTTTCAGATCTGGAACTCACCTCACTCCTGTGGTTTCCAGCCAAACAAAAGAAAGACTATGGGGTGAGCATTTACATCAGGTAGATACAGTCCTTGGAGCAATCAGTCAGAGGAGAAGAGAAGGGCGCAGTTTGCACAGGGAGACATGGGGGTGGGGCAGGAGTGCATGGGAGGAAAGAGCACAGGGAAGAGGTAACTATGGGGAGGAAGTGGAAAGAGAGCTGTTACATTGTGGGCAATTACAGTCAATGTCATGTGTATGAACTGCTGTATGGAAAATAAATTTGCTCTGTAAACTTTCACCCAAATCACAATAAAAATTAAAAAAGTAATAACAACTACCCTGTAGAATTATTGATGCATAGTACACACTCTATAAATGATGGTTATTGTTATCCCTTAATAATTGTTGTTGTTGTTGTTATTTGCCGTTGAGTTGGCCCCGACTCATAGTGACCCCTCCTTGGGTTTCCAAGGCAGTATCACTACGGAAGTAGGATTGCCCAACCTTCCTTCCGAGGAGTGGCTGGTGGATTTGAACCGCCAGCCTTCTGGTTAGCAGTCAAGTGCCTTAGCCACTATGCTACCAGAGCTCCCATCCCTTAATAATAGTTAACTCATATTTAAGATAGTGTAGTGTATGTATGTGTGTGTGCACGTATATATTGCATATTCAGATTGATAAAGAATGAAGTCCATTTCTGGTCATTTCCATTTACTGAGATCAATATTTTTGTTTAATTTGTAATAGATTTTAGTTAATCTGTTTAAAAGTTGGTTTTTGGATACTGCTTATCAATGTAGTAATTTGATCAAATGAGACCCTTCAGCAGCTATTTCATTGCTTTGGCATGTGCTTGGGAACAACTTTTGACGATTAGATTAGTCACTGTTATACATGTAACTTACTCTGGACCATTAGTTTTCTATATTTATAAAGTGAAATTTCTGAGGACTGTTTAAGATCTTTGATCTTAGTTAATTCTATTTATATCTTAAATACATAAATCATTTGGGAGGCTAGTTACTAAAATATAACTTTTTACTCTGAAAAATGATTATATAAATGATAGAATTAAAATATTTAAAAAATAAACATGTCTGTTATAAGGAGTATGATATTTCCTAGAACTCAAGTTTTATGCCTCACCTAGCAACCCCTAATAGATTAAAACTCAGTAGCATAGATTTAGGAGTATATTTGGGAAAAAAAATGTGAACCTACATTTTTCTTGTAGTAAGTAATTTTCATGTTCTTATCATCTTTTTCATGTCTGTATCATCTCTTTCCATAAAGTACTTGATGCTTTTGAGAATTGTTACCAAATGTTCATTTCGTAGATTAAACTGATCAATAAAGTCAAGCAATTTGTTTAGACTTATCAATTGAATCAGTGGCATAACAGATTTGCTTAGATTGTTAAGGCTCTTTTTAACTGTTGATTACACATATTATATTTAAATGATTCTTACCCTCCATATATATTATTGAACACATACTAGACACCAAGTATCATGCTAAAGTCTGAGAATAAAAAGACAAGTTAGATGAAGTATCTGCTTTGAAGAAGCTTGGTATAATCATAAAACAAGTAAGTTAACAGCCCATTAAAGTAGGAGGTGATGAGCAGTGTGGTTGTGCTTTGAACTGGTTGCCAAAGAGGTCATATGGGTAGGCAACATAGGCCATCATGAAAGGCTTTTCTAAGCAACTGAACCAGTATTTGAAGCATGATCGAATTTATCGAAGACACAAGGGAAGGGATAGAGAGGGTGATGGAGATTTTGGACAGTAGAAGTAGCAAGCAGCTTCTGAAAACACATGTGCTCTACTTTGATTGAAGTGCATGGCTTAAAATAAAGAGAAGTGGAAGATGACCAGAGAGGTATGCAAGGATAAGATATTAAATAGACTGGATTTATTCTTAAGGCTATTGGGAACCATGTATAGACTTTAGGCATTTATTCATCCGCTCAATAAATATTTGAGTGTCACCTGTGTGCTAGGTATTATTCTAAGTGCTGAGGACACAAAAATGAAGGGCACAAAGTCCTCACACTTTGAGAGCTTTTGCTTCACAGGGAAGAAACATTCTTTGTAAGATTCTAAGCAAGATCCAGAATCCCATAACATAATATTAAAAATACTTAGAATTTAACTCAGATCAGTAGTCAAGTGAAGTAACAGGAAAATCTCAATTCCCATGTGGAAAGATAGTTAGCAAATGTCAATACCAAGATGACATAGATATTAGAATTATCTGTTAATGACCTTGTTGTTGTTGTTGTTATGTGCTGTTAAGTCTGACCCGACTCATAGCGACCCCTCCTTGGGTTTCCAAGGCAGTGGGAGCTCTGGTAGCATAGTGGCTAAAGCACTTGACTGCTAACCAGAAGGCTGGCGGTTCAAACCCACCAGCCACTCCTCGGAAGGAAGGTTGGGCAATCCTACTTCCGTAGTGATACTGCCTCGGAAACCCAAGGAGGGGTCGCTATGAGTTGGGGCCGACTCGATGGCACATAACAACAACAACAACAACATCACTACGGAAGTAGATTGCCCCATCTTCCTTCCGAGGTTAATGACCTTAGTGCAGCTATTATAAAAAAAATCATAAGCAATCAAACACTTGTGTCATAAAGAGAAAATGGAGTCTTTGTGTGGTGCAAATGGTTAATTCTTGACTAACTGAAAGGCTGGTAGTTCGAGTGTACCCAGAAATGCCTTGGAAAAAAGGCCTGCTTATCCACCTCTGAAAAAAACTAGCTGTTGAAAATCCTGGGGAGCACAGTTCCACTATGCCATACATGGGGTCTTCATGTGTTGGAATTGATTTGATAGCAGTTGGTAGTTAGGAGAAACATAGACAGTATTAGTAAAGAAAGAGAAGATAGATGGAAGAAACAAATAGTTTTAGAACTGAAAAATTTAAACTGGGAAAACAGCCTGGATGAATTCAGTGACAGAAAGGAGACAACGGAAGAGTCAGTGAACTTTGAAGATACATAAATTGAAATTACTCAATCTGAACAACAGACTTTTTTCCAGTCATTGGAGAAAAAAAATGAAAAAAGCTTCAGGGACCTGTCAGACAATACCAAAAGGTCTAACATTCATGTCATTGAAGTACCAGAGGACTGGAGAAAGAGCATGGGGATGAAAAACTGTTTGAAGAAATAATGGCTGAAATAATGGCAAAAGACATAAACGTACAGATTTAAGAAGTTGTATTATCCTCAAACAGGAGCTCTGGTAGCGTCGTGCCTAAGGCACTTGACTGCTAACCAGAAGGCTGGCGGTTCAAACCCACCAGCCACTCCTCAGAAGGAAGGTTGGGCAGTCTACTTCTGTAGTGATACTGCCTCGGAAACCCAAGGAGGGGTCGCTATGAGTCGGGTCTGACTCAACAACACACAACAACAGTTATTTTCAAACAGGTAAACCCAAAGAAATCCTTGCCCAGCTACATAATAATCAAACTACTGAAAACTGTTGTTGATGTTAGTTGCTTTTGAGGTGATTCTGACTCATGGGATCACCAGGTTTGTAGAGTTGAACTCCATATGGTCTTGAAGGCTGTGACCTTTCAGAAGAAAATCACCTTCCAAGGCACCTCTAGGTAGCTTCAAACTGCCAACCTTTTGGGTAGTGGTTGAATGCTTAACTGTTAATGCCACTCAGGAACTCCTACTGAAAACTAGACCTAAAAAAAAGGAGAAGAAAATAAACCTCAAAAGCAATGAGAGAAAAAGACATAATTTATAGAAAAATAATTCAAATGAAAAGAAGTAATGTCTTATGTCAATAAACAACTCTTAAGAAACTAGGTGAAAAGCAAAATAAACTGAAAACAACCAGAA